GTATAAAAATATATATGGTTCAATTAATACATCGATGTATCCAAATTTATTTAGAGGTATATCAATTGCAAGAAGACGGAATGCATGGTTGTTAGCAAAAGGAACAGCTCAAGCTGCAAATTACAAATTGGAGAACCAAAACCAAACGCGTACAAAAATATAAATAGCTGGGAAATGTTTTGAAAAAAGAGGGAAAGTGCAACACTGAAATCTAAGTGTGTATTGGAATAATGAAATAAGGCTTCCAAAATCTAAGTATTAAGAAAGAGAAACTTTAAGGTAGAAGCAAAGAAAAGATTACTGAAATTTTATATAATAACAGTTCTCATATATGGCAGTGAATGATGAACAATCTCATCACAGACGAAAAAGAGACATGAAGCAACAGAAATGGGCTTCGACAGAAAGTAGCTGAGAATACCATGTGAAAAACGACGAATATTTAAAGAAAAGAGAAACAGTTACATTTTCTAGCGCACATAATGAGGAAAGAGGGCTTGGAGAATTAGATACGCATTGGACAGTTTGAAGGCAAGATGGACAGAGCAAAACAACGCATAACTTACATGACGAATGACAGAACCAGGTTTAGGAGAGATAAGAAAAAGACAAAAGTTAAGAACTACAAAGGACAGGAAGTTGTGGAGAGCAATGATCGTCATCGTCCTGAAAGGATGCGGTACATAGAAGAAAGAAAGAAATGAATGACAGTCAACATGTGCAGCTGTCGAATTATGAATTTCCGACATGTCTAGTTTTATCAAAATTAGACATCGTTTTATCTAAAAAGATGTGAACTATTTGAAATGTTAACAGAATAAGAAACTAATTCACTTCCATTTTTAACCAAATTTTGAATATTATAAAAGACAATAGAGGCAGATTATATTAACAATTAAAAAAATAAACTGCAAAATATGTTACATCTTTTTATATGTCCTTGAGAAATTCTAAAGAAATATTCTGTACATAAACATTTCTGAAGTATTTGTATCTGAGGAGCTTGCACTATATGCAAGATTGGATTTTTGTGAATAGGACGGAAGTTGGTATTATTATAGATCATATATAATGTGGAGTTCACAGGGTTGCCCTCTTCGAAGATAAAGGACCAACACAAAACAACACTGAGAGCCACTGAACTTGAGCCTAAATCGTTTGCAACTCAAGCACATGACCGTACCAACAGGCGATGTTACATCACCATCGGAATGAAAATCTTGAAACCACAGAAAGAGAAAAGGAAGAAGTCAAAAGAAAAAAGAGAAAGCCTCGACAAAATCGACTTCGTACTCCAACATTACAACGCACTAAAGTTCATCGGCTCTGTTAGACATTTTCATGACGGTCGTCCTCGAGTATAGAATCCAGAGGTTGGCAGTGAATATTTCGGAGAAAGTAGGAAAGCGTTGTGCAGGTTCGCAGTGGATATCGCAGCAAAGTAGCAGGGCGTAGTTCTTCCGTCTGTCATGTTCGCCGGACAGGTTGCCTCTGGTCCTCCCGATAGGAGAAACAAAGATGGCCGCCTTTATACACGACGAATACAGTGTTGTGCTGCTTCTGATTGGTCAACCTTCTATTGGTCGACTATAACGGGAAATAAGTCATTCTGACTCGCTCACTAGTTATATACGGCATATACCCAAAAAACCGTAACAGGCTCGTCCATGCAATTGGTCTATTTAGTTATTAAAACCATAATCATAAAGGAAGCGATCAGAAAAGAAGAAATTAAATTCTTGGATACGAGATAAAACCGACGGCGATATTTATTTGTTGCTTTTACTTGATGAAAATATGATACGTCTAATTCTTTCTCCGTAATTAATAGCCGTTGATTAATACATTCCTAAAATAAACGTTATTAATGAATATGTACAATGTTTTGCGTTACGTAAAATAACTTGTACCAACGTACTGGGCAAAGTTTTCGGATGTTATTTTCCGAAGTGATCTTTACCTTTAATTTATTTTTATTTGGTCATTAAGCACAGTCTTCGAGGTTTAGGACATATAGCAAGAATGGAAGAGTTAAGGTTTCCACAATTTTTATTCAATGAGCTCACGTCAGGGAAAAACACCAGGGAACAAGGATCATTTCAAAACAATACAGAAAGCCACTGGACTTGAGCCTAAATCGTTTGAAACATAGACACAATACCATACCAACAGGCGATGATCCACCCCCCTTGGAAGGAAAAAAGCTTCGAAGCTACCAGAAGAGAAAAGTAAGACGTCAAAGGACAAGAGAGAAAAGCTCGACAACATCGACTTTGTACTCCAACATTACTATGCATTCAATGTCATCGGCACTTCCATGCAAGAATTGGTGCAATTAGTCATCAAAGTCATAATCAAGAGACCAGAAAAGGAGACATTCTTTCCTACGAGATAAAGCCGACGACAACAAATATGGGTTTACTCTCATTATTTTTCAACTTGTGTATTAGCCAGGGAAGGCATGGTGGAATCGAGAGCCGAGTTCGAATTCCAGTCAAATCCATTACATTCACTTCCGTGCTAATACCCTTTGGAAAGGTATGAATCCTCTTCTTCTGCCTTTCCTGCTATGGGTAAATAACCGGGTTCTATAGACTTGGATGGCAACTGGTCTACTGCAGAATGAAATGGCAAAATACTGCGGGAAAATAATCTGCCTCGTCAGTCATATATCGAAAGATAAATGATCGATTAAGCGTGTATCCAGTATGGCACATAACTGACTGATTAGCCTGAGAATCGTGCCAAGGTTTTTCTTAAATAATGGATTCAGAAGAACATAAATCATTGGTATTTAGCAAAATTTTCACAGCTATCACTTTGACAAAAAGTGAAGAGTTATCCTCAATTCCGTAATATAAGGGTTTAACATGTGAAACATATTTGTATTTTATAATCTATATATATTTGTATTTTATAATATATATATATATATATATATATATATATATATATATATATATATATATATATATATATATATATATATTAATCTATATTAATCTATATTAATCTCCCGAACCAATAAAACTGTCAAACTGACCAAGAGAATTCAGAGAAGCATGGATCCATCCAGCTCTTATCTCAAATAACAACTTAAAAGAGACTGTTTGATCAACACAAGGATTGTTTAAAAAAATCATGTTAAAAAGATAAAAGAAAAATTAAAAAAAAAACAAATGAAAACTACAGACAAAAGTTAATTTACACGATTAAGACATTCATTTGTGTAGTTGACTGCTATGAGAAAGAATCATTTTTTTCTCCTGATGATGGCCATGTTGGCCGAAACTAGTCGAGGAATCTAAATGAAATAATAATAAAAAAAAACGAAAGAATATTAATCTACAACCCCGTGTGTCTGAAGATTTTAATCTTTTGATATTTTTTATTTTTCAAAATATATATATATATATATATAGATGGATGTCTCGCCATTTAAATCATTAACCTTTTACATTAGTTTTGTGTGAATAATTCATTGTATTTGTAAATTGATTGCACGTTTATTATATATAAAATATATATATATATATATATATATATATATATATATATATATATATATATATATATATGCGCCAATGACATGTTATGCGTTAGTCTTCGTTACTAAAATATCACAATTCCTCAGTGCGACTAGACAGCCGAATGCCCAAAGGAGGATCGAAACACAACGATTTGGTATCAGTCAGATCTTCTACCACTGATCTATCTTCACTGGGCGGAGTTACGCGGCTAAATCTCGCGTATTGTTTTTACGAATGTAAACAAATGCCAATCAGCCAAAGTGCTCCATTCATTTTTACTGAAGAGTTCTACATTAGCTCAGGTGGCTGTTGTTTATAGAATTAGCTTATCACTCAACAGTGCTCGCTTGAAATATATTTTCAACAGATAAATTATATACAAATGAGAGAAAAAACAGATGGGGTAAAAATCCACAGATTTTTTAAAAAATTGCTCAATACAAAGTAGAGCAAAATATTATTATAATATTCTCTTCATAATAAATTACACTAAAAACATTTTACATCGCCACTCAGAAGCGTTCATGCTTCGGTACTAAAATGGTACCTATTCAGGCGATGGTAGATAACTAATGATAAGAATGATATATTGGGGAAATTTAAAAATAAATCCTTACCTCTTTTCGTAAGTGATGTGGGGCCAAAGTCGGGACCACAGAAGGAAAACACGGAACACGGATTAGATGTAAGAAAGATATATTAACAACAAGTTACAGAGATAGTGTAAGAGGAGCTTACTATATGTTGGTGTCCAATACTGGTAGTCGTACGCGGCTCTCACTGTTTCTCTGTGTCTCTCTAGAGTGTTGTGTCGCATACTTAATATAGACCTGGAAGAGTCTATTGTGTTGGTAGTTCCGGTCTCACAATACCCCCCTTCCAAGAGTTTTCTTTTTGAAAAGGAGAGAAAAAAAGAAAAATGTTAATACTTTTTCCTTTTGGGGTTTACGTCGAGCGGTTGAGTAAATTTACTTTTCCTATATGAGCGTCGCACTTCAGGAGAGACTTGGGGTATGTCTAGATCGAACTAGAGATCTTGATGCGTGAGCCACAGCTTTTCGCGAACCATCTGGCAGTTTATGTAAACTGCAAGCAATGCCGTACGAGCTTGCATCACTTGCGACTATGATGTCGAGACTAGGGTAGTAATGGGTGAGGGAGAGGTCTGAAGTAAGAGTTTTCTTGTTCTTCTCGAATGCGTCTTGGCATTCCGGGGTCCATGACCATGGTTTATCCTTTTTTAAGAGTTGGTTGGGCGGCCAATCAAATTTTGCATGTTCTTAATAAACCCCTTGGTAAAAATTTAGCTAAGGCCGCGGGAAGCTTTGTAACGCTTGAACGTTATCTGGGGCCGGCATGTTTCTGATCGCGTTGGCTCGTATTTGATTGGACTTCTTTTTTACGTAGACCGTGGGGTGCTGCCCACCGCTGCAATCTATTTTGACAGAATACCTGCTTGTTCGAGTCTAT